ATAATAATAATAATAATAATAATAATAATAATAATAATAATAATAATAATAATGGTCAGCAGTTGTGGGAAAGAACATAGGCTTCCAAGAAACCTCTAGAACATGGGATTTGGCTCGTGGACTTGAAGTTAAATACACCTGTCTCAGACCCATCCAAAATATTCCATTTCATCAAGAACTCATGTATTGTCATGTGGCCAGATGGAATGTTTATATTGGCTACATGGCTTGCACAGCTGATGCACAGCCCAGTATTTGCATGTTTCTGTTACAAATTTGGGATTCTTATGGCCTGATACTTTCAGCCATAACTAGGGAATCTAAGACTATAGGACAAATCTTGCATTGTTCCTTCCTTTACCGTTTGTACCAGGCTTCAGCATCTTTGTTCTTCCCCAAGGAGCGGTACAGCCTGCCCAGGTTGACCATGGCCACATGATGGCCAGGGCTGAGCTGGATGGCTTTTTGGTAGTGGGAAACTGCCATCTCGGGAGAGCCTAGAAAAGAGGACTTGGTTAGAGCTGCTCTTGACACATTCCAAAAAGGTACTGTGAGTTCCACCAGTGGTGGTGCATTTAGAACCACCTATGAAAAGAGCAAACATTCAATGCCTTTCATGGAAACCAAGATATCAAGAGAAAGCTTATTATCATCACCATCAGTTCATTTGTTGTTGCTTTTCCAAGGCAAAACCAAAGAGGCTTCCAGCGGCATCAGAAAATGTTACAGAATGGTATACAGCAACACAATGTACTTTCATGCACATATTATATTAAGTACAATATTGTATTTTAAAGGTTTTAAATCTTAGTAAACTGCACAGAGAGTTTTGGCTATTGTGCAGCACTGGTAATGCAATAAATGACATGAATATTTGCTGATAAATTCATTAAGAATTATAAATCATGGCAGAATTTAAGACTAAACAGCAATATTAAATAATGCACTAAGAAGGAACAATTATAGTAAGGCCCAGAGAAACAGAAACACCAAGAAATAATCTAAAGAGCAGCAAAAATACATTGTTATGAATGTTGGGAAATTCAGACTAGCTCGACCTTCTGATGCTGTTGGACCAGAGTGTCCCAGACAGACAGACATTACAGCAATGGTATTCCCACTAAAGCAAGGTACTTGCAGAATGGTGTAGTGGTTAGAGCAGCCTGGTAGCCTAATTGAGTCTGACCTGTCCTCCTAGTAAAACTCAAGGCAGTATTTCCATGTCACCACAGGGTGGAGCTGGTCTGCCATATCTTCCACAGACAAGATGTGCCGGGGAAATTCATTATTGTGAGGTGGGGGGCACAATGACTCCAAGCTGTGTGTAAACTGATTAAATAGAATCATTCATCGGTGTCTTGTGTAAAAAAACAACAACAAAAAAACGCCACCAATATGTTGATGTTAATTTCATCCTGGAGAAAAGTGACAGATTGCTAGCCTTGGGAAGCAAACAGCTATTTAAGATAAATTTTGTACACGAATCCGCTGCCTGTCACATAGAAATATCTCCCACAGCACTGTGAATACTTAATCTGCATGCAAAATACAAACAAACATGCCAAGGTTAAAAATAACCAAAGTTTAAGATTTGGAAAGGGGAGCGGGGGAAGCTTGCTGGTTGTTACCTTCACTTTATTTTAAACTTTCGGTCATGTCCTCAGGCCCAGAACGAATTCACATGAATCAGAGTGAGTGATCCACGGGGCTGTGTTTTATTTATCACACTCTCAAAGCTTGTTGTAATGAAATCTATCTAGGACTGCCCATGAAGACTATTTGGGCAATGCATCTGGTACACGGCACAGTGGCCTGTTTTCATCAGGACGCAAACCTTTTTGGGTATCCTGTTGCTTCCAGGACATCATTACAGGTTCTGGTTTTCATTGAAATAGCACTAAAGTTGTAAGTTTTGTTCTGTCCGAACATGCGTAGCACTGCCTCTCAAATCAAGGCTTAGGAACAAGAAGGGACCCTCTCCCATTCTATGCTCAGAAGACAACCGAACTGGCAAGAGGTTGCTACTTCAACACTAGAGGCAGTCCGTGTCTTCTACAGCACTTAAAGGCAGTGGTGTGGCATGGGGAATGAAGGGCAAGCCATGGTGCACACAGAGACCTGCCCTCCAGGATCTTACCCCCATTTCCCATCCCGCAGCACCTGCCCCCTCATCCTCTGCCTAAGGAGAGGGCCAGCCATGAACAGGCTTAAAATCTAGAAACTAATAGAGGAGACAACAGAGAACAGGAAGGGAAGTGCAGGCTGTGTCCAGCAGGTGCAAAATTCATGTTGTTTCAGTGCCGTATACTGAGGCTTAGTTACTGGAAGGGATGGGGACCAGAAAGTTGCAGCAAAAGTTTCACTCTATTTTCAGCATCTCATTCCAAGGCCTTGACTTAAAGGTTTGGAAGAGTTGGCGCTGATAGCAACAGGTTTTTCAGTCACCTCTGCTGGCAGGAAACTCAGCTGGCAGGAGAAAGATTTGTCACAATTCCCAGCATTTTAATTGCTGTGCTCTTCACATGTTCTGTCAAAAATGTCTTTTGGGAGTGTGGGCGTGAGAAGATGTATGGCAGTATAAGGGCAAAACTGAGTGAGAGACATATCCCTCCAATCATCTCTGTGTTTCTTACGGCCCTGACTTCAGGCTTTAATCATCTCTCTGTGTGAACGGAATAGAAATGGCCGCCTTTATTACCTCCTTCAATTTCTTTCTGTTGCCACGCAGTGCATTCGGCAGAGCTATTTAGCAGGCTACGTTTAATTTTTAAAGGAAAAAGTGTGTGATTCCACTCCCTAACCTCTCCTAGGAGCATGAGGAAGCAAACACATTTGCAAACAAAGAAATAGCTGCTTGCTCTTTCATGTAGGTATGGCCGGGGGTGGGGGAACCCCGTGAATGAACGCCACTCTGGCATGGAGGCACCCGTGAGTTACCAGCCAGTAGAACATACATTCCCACAGGAGGTGCCTGGAATCAAACCCAGCTACAAGAAACTGGGACTGCTTAATGCATATTTATTCATCTAGAAAAGGTCTCTCCCACCTTTCTGCCTAGCAAAACCTAGAAAGCAGTCCACTACACTTCTTGTTTTTAATTAACTTTGTATGAGAAAAACCGAAGTTTTAGTTCCAGACTTGTTCAGAGTCAGGAGTAAACCAATCCTTTGGCCTCTGGACAATCAACTTCCTTCAACTGCACCCTCAGTCACAAGGACGTTTTAGCTCCCTCTTAGTAATGTATTTGTGGACTTTATTTTAGCATAAGTATTGATAATGAGGGTGAACAGGTTTTTAATCAGTTTTTGAGTAGCTGCCTTGAATGCCTTGTGAGAAAGGCATAGCTCATATTTATAATGACTGCTGAGGTGATGCAGTGGTTACAGCAGATGGAGAGTAACTTCTAGTTCTCAAGATGTTTAAGGATTACAGCTCCCAGAAGCCCCACCCAATCTGGCTAGTGGCCAGGGGTTCTGGGAGTGCTAGGCCAAAAGATCTGAAGAGCATTAAGTTGCCTTGTTGCCCTGGGTTAGAGTCTTGGAAGAGAATTGCAGAGACACGTTGAAAGTCTCCATCTGCCATGAAAGTCACTGGGTGGCCTTGTGACCTGGGTGACCACCTCCCTGCCTAAGGTTGCGGTGAAGATAAACTAGGCGAGAGAACGCTGCATGCCACTTTGAGTGTCTTCACAGAAAGGTAGAACATATGCAAACCAACTATTCCAAGAGTATATGAAGTTAAACATAAGCAGTGGATATGGAAAACTATGCCAGGGCACAGGATAATAAAGATTATTTTATGTGTAAGAAAACCAGATCATTGGTCTCTTTCTTTCCCCCTCCCTCCCCTTCACAGCGAAAAAGTGAGGCAGATCTTAGCACAGGGGTGGGAGACCTTTGTCCTGTGGGCCAAATATAGCCCCAGGAGGTCTCCAGAGTTCACTCACTTCCCTGCTGTCTTCTATCCATTCAAGAGCATCAGCATACAAGGGCAACAACAGACCAGCCACAATTTGACAGGCTGTCCAAAATACTTTTCTTTCTATGCTTTTTAAAAGACACTCCTGCAAACATTAAGATGTACCTTCTCCCTACATTTTACCTTTGAAATATGCGGGTCACACTGCCTTAAGGCCCAGGCAGTTGCATAACATTCATCTGCCAAAGGCTGAGAGAGCTCGCCTGAGAGGTAATGCAGAAATGTAAGAAATAACAAGAATAAATCATGAATAATTCCACCAGGTGTCTCGGGCCTGTTCTGGAGGAGACCACTCTGAGAAGCTAAAGGAGTCACTTACTTTCTCTGTCTGCTATTCAAGCTTGGCCAACAAGCAATTGACCCTCTGTAGCAACATTTCCTTTTATGTGTGTGCCAGGGAAAGAATCAAAGTCATGGGAAGTTGGATTTGAACTGGCAGCAAAGAAAAGAATCGCACATTCTTCCTCTCCAGGTCACAATATTTGCATTTGGCAAAGCACGGCCCTCCTTTATATGTTTCGTAGCAGCTGTGCTCAGCCTCTCCGAGCCAAAGAGCTGCTTTGCAGCTGCAAAGCATCTGTGGCGTGGAGTGATCCTACTGCACTACCATCGGGGTCCAGGGCATGGCCACTGGCCAGGCCCAGAGTGAGAAAGGGGAGAAGGCAACACTCCACTGGGCTGAAAATATCAAGATAAATGAGGGTCCATGTGGTGTGGTGTGGTGCGGTGCTGAGAGTGCTGGACTGGGGACGTGGTAGAGCCGAGTTCTAGTCCCCACTCAGCCGCACAGCTCACTGGGTGCCTTTGGGCATGTCGACTCGCAGCCCAGCCTACCTTTCAGGGCTGTTGTTGTGAGAATAAAATGGAGTTATGGAAGACACCTTGAGGTCCTCACAAGAGAAAAGGTGAGATATAAATGCAGTGTAATACAAATTATTATTATTAAATTACATTCATATCCCATCTGACTACCTTTGCAAGGAAGTCAAGGGGGCTTGCAAGGTTCTCCTCCCATTGTTATTCTCACAACAGCAACCCTGTGAGGTAGACTGAGAGTCAGTGACTGGCCCAAAGTCACCCAGTGGACAAACTGATGCTCTTCACACAGTGACAAATCTGGTTCCAGACTGTGCAGGGAAACTGCCGAGCGTCCTATACAGGTCTTTTCAGATATGGGTCCCACTGAGTTCAAAAGGACTTTCTCCCAGGACAGTGTCTACAGGACTGGAGCCTTACAGTGCAATTCTATAGATGCTTCCTCAAAAGTAACCCCATTATATTCAATGGGATTTACACCCACATAAGAGGGTATGAGAGTACAGCCTCAGATTTTTAGGGCTGTGTCTGATAATAGACTTATTCATTTACTTATCCTACCTTTTTTCCTGCTAAGGAACCCAAGGTGGCTTCCATAATCCTTCTCCCCATTTTATCCTCACAACAACCCTGTGAAGTAGGCTAGGCTGAGAATCAGTGACAGGTCCAGTAAGCTTCATGGACAAGTGGAGACTAGAACCTGGATCTCGTGAGTCCAAGTCCAATTCTCCAATCCCACACTAGCTCTACTTATTTTCAGATCAGAACCTCTAAAGCAGTTGTACCAGAACTATGGTCGGAGAACTGTGCTGTTTCCGTGCTGTTCCCCCTCCTTTCATAGCCTCACTTCTATTGCTTCCTTTACCCCCTTTCTTCTTTATTCTCATCACACTTGCACCCATTTGCTTAAGTTAGTTGGCTGCTGCACTTGACACAATACTTTTGCTGACATCTGTAACATTACATCATAAGTAACACTCTGATGTCATCAACAAAACCATGATGGCCTCCCCAGCTAATCAGAGAGCAGTGTGGGCAAATGAAGGCCAAGGCAGTGAGGGAAAAGAAGAGGGTTAAGACTGCAGAAAAGTGGCACCAGCAGCCGGGGATGAAATGCAAATATATTTTTAGGATATCAAAATGATCAAAAGTGGAAAATTGTTAAAAGGGGAAATGACACACAACTAGGTTAACAGTTTTGGTCCAACCCAAGTTTTTGCAGACGACAACAAGAATGCTCATGGTGGTTTCCAGTTATTTTGCTGGGTCTCACAATGACACAGACCTTCTGGTTTATTCAGAATAGATGTTACTAACCTTCAACAGAATATATACAATTCTTGATTACCCCCAACATGCCCTGGTTTCCTTTTTACTTACCAGTATCAACTAAGAAAACCCCATAGTTATTATGCAGATCGGAGCTCTCTGGACAATTCTCTATTCCAGCTTGATATACTTCCTCAGCTTCCTTTAATTGGTCCTTAACACAAAGAGAGTTAGCAAAGATGGTTACCCAGGGGGCATTCAGCCTTGCTACTAATGGCTAATTGCAAAAGTATCCTGCTAAAGTCTGCAGTTAAAAGGATCATGTAGAGGGTGGTGGAAAAAAATCCCCTCTTGGGACCCTATAGAGCCTCTGCCACCCAGAGTAGACAATACTGAATCCAATGGGTAAACAGCCTAAGCCAAAATGAGGCAGCTTCCTGTATTCCTTGAGTCCAGGGGGTCCTTTTTCTGTAGGAACTGCAGCCCCCAAAGGTCTCCAAATAATAACCTTGGGGGATTTCAGCAGTCCTTCACATTACTGTATTTAAGGACATACGAGCATTTCCATTTTGCTCACAATATGTTCGTGTGTGTTCCGTCTGAAGTCGCAAACATGACTGCAGGTGCAAGCACATGTCTGCCAAAACGATTTGCAAATTGTCAGAATATGTTTGCATGCAATCTGCACAACTTTCCTGCTTTGATTTTGCACAATTTTCCCCTGCACACGGAAAGCCTTGCTTTAGTTTATGAAGAAATTTTGCACACATTTCACATTCAGTCACTGCTAGATTTGCACAAATTTCCTTTTCACACAGAGCAAGCCGTGATCACAAACCTGAATAGGACCTTGGCACAAGATGAGCAGCAAGAAGATGCTTGGAGCATTCTGGAGATTCCAACATTGCGCATTTGCCCAATTTTCTAATCACTAATCTAATTTAATTATTATTTTGAAGTATTGTTTTGGCTTAGAATAACAGCTCTGAGTTCTCATGGCTTTCTTTTTAAAGCTACCATTGCATCAAAGTTACACCCATTATGATGTACATCTAGAATGCAACCCAACACCAGGTCAATGATCTAACTTGACTGTTCAATGGAATCAAGCTCAACTTTTAGGGTATGTTACTGTTAATGCTGTAAGCATTCCAGAGGAAAAAGGTGGGATTTGGGGGAGGAGGGAAAGGTAGGGAAAAAACAGGAGATCCCTTGAAGTCCACAAGAAGGCTAAGCTGGCTTCCAAGACCAGCAAGCACCTCTTATTAAAATTCTTCAAAATCAGCAGAACACTCTTAGTCTGGGGCTTACCGGAAGACTGACTTGTTTAAGTACGCTCTCTATTCAAGTCTGCTCTGGTTTGAAAATCACCTTTCCCAGGGAGGACAGAGTCATTACACTGACTTACAACTCAACTCCCTTGAGCACGGAACATTAATCTTAAGTGCCCCTTTTACAACTACAGGAGCAAAGGAACGTCAAGGCTCATTTTTAGATTCCTAGATTGCTGAGGGAACGTGCTAAGGCAATCAAAAAGTTCCCTCCCCATCCCCTTCCCAATTTTTAAAAAATATATAACTCCAAAACCCATGATTAATCACCCTCTTCCTTCACAGGAGCTTGGTAGAAATGTGACTTGGAGGGCTTTGGCCTGATCCTCGCACTAGTCTGGCACAGGAGATGCACACCTCTCCCGGGAGGGAGTCATGCTCTGTCTCCTTTGCACTTCGGAGCTCACCCCACCTCAAAGGGGCTTTGCACAGAGAAAGTCCTGGGCTTGTTCCCCAGGTAGGACTAGGCATAAATCCTCCCTGGAACCCTGGAGAGCTGCTGCCAGTGAGTACTGACAGCACCAATGGTCAGATTCGGGACAAGGCAAGCTGCCTGTATTCTACTTCCCCCTGGTTTGCTCCGAATAATATGGGGGTGGTACAGGATTACCTGCGACTTCAGTGGTGAGAGAAGAATGGCTTCTGGGGTAATGCGGCTATGAGAGCTTGCCTGAACTTGCAATGTTGGGACCTCTGTGCAGCTGCGGTGGCAAGTCTTTCTTAAGCATTAATACCACTACAGAGCTTATCCTCACCCCAAAACACTGCCCGCCCTGCTCCAACTCTCTGCAGTTACACTGCAGTGATTCTTTTACATAGGGAAGGGAGGGAATGTTAAGGGAAACATACAGTACATATGGATCAGCTGCTGCTGGAAACAATCTTTTTAACCTATCAGGCTGCAAAGCACGGACAGGAAACCCTACTCTCCATTCTGACTGCTTTTTGATAAGTACCACTTACCAGTGTAACCACTTTATACCCAACGTCCATTTGTGGCTATGTCACTGAGAAGAAGCACGCTCTGGTCTCATCCATCAGCTGGAGGATTTTGAGACACTGGCAGGTTGCCCCCCTTGGCTCCCAGGAAAAGCAGCATGCCTGACCCATGTATCTGGCAGACAAGGGGCAGCTGTGGGAATTGGGTTCCCTGTCCCTGCCCAAAAGCAGTGCTTTGCTCTAGCTGCGGGTGTGGAGTCAAAGAGAAGCATGTTTTACCTTATCCATTGCCCAGAAGAGCAAGGCACACTGAGAATCCTCTGCTCATAAAGCTTGTGTATAAATCTTTAACACGCATAAACGGTCTGTACCATTTGTGAGATGGAGATCTGGGAGATATATGCATCCTAATCCATTCTTAAAGTTTAGTAGTTCTATGCAACAGCTCCTTGGAGCATAGCTGTATCATACCCGACTTGGCTGGCTTGCTTTCTTTAAAGAAGTGATGGCACAATAGTGACCCAAACAGTACAAACAGTTCCCTAAGGCTGTAGGTGCTTCAGACAGCAAACAGAATCCAACAGGGTGTTTCCACCCCTGCCGGTTCTCTCCACTTTTGCCTTTCCCCCACCCCATTTAATGGTACTTTATGCTTCTTTCAAATTGCTCCAGAAGTGCTAAACGCTCGTTTCTAGAAAGATCCGGGCCAATGATGTTCACATAAGAGTGCTCCGCCTTCTGGAAACTTTCCCAGGAACTTTGGGGACTTTCCCATGAAGTTAAATCTCCGGTGTGTGAATGTGAGTCCATTGCCTGTGCTAGCGATGTGTGAGGAATCCAATTTGGAGGTGTAAATCTGTTAGATTTCCTTGACCCAGCTCCCTGATCTCAAGCCCACCTTCTCTCTGCCCTAAGTCCATCTTGCGCTGGGTGTGCAGCAGGAAGCAAGACAAGTACGTCCGTGTGCCGGCTCGTGTACATGCCGCTTGTGCACTTGTTCTGCAAGTGTTCTTCCAGACACACAACTCGCAGATTCTGCATACTTTGCGCAAAGAAGCTGCTAGCAGCTCCAGGCATTCACACACTTGGTCTCAGCTCAGCTCGCTTCACTTCCTAGCCAGAGACAAGCACAGGAAAGACGCTCAAGAGAGCGGAACGCGGTCCTGCCCTTTGCTTCCCAGCTTGCATAATGCGGTCAGTGGGACCACCGCCTGAGCACTGAAACTGATGGGGTGGAGTGCTCTGTTGGATACTGGCCAGAAGGCTCTTAGACCCACCAGTCAAACACCATTATGTGGCAATTTTTGTGGTTTCCTTCCTTTTTGCGATAAAAAAGCAAGACGTGATAGGAAACCATGGGATGGTTACACTGGGAACATGGAGTCATTTGGAAACCCCCACCCCACAAAATTCCATGAAGGAGGGAGGTTGATGACATGATAAAAGCCTCATCTGGACACATTCCTGCACTTCATTCATTCATTCATTCATTCATTGTTTGATTTATATTTATTTATTTATTTATTAAAACATTTTTATGCTGCCCCATTCGCCGAAGCCTCGGGGCGGCTTACAACAATAAATAAAAGTAATTATAATATAAATTACAATAAATATAAACATTAAAAATCCAAAAATACAATATAAAATAAGCCGCCCTGGCCAGATAAGATCAAATAATACTAACAGTTAAAATGCCACTTAAATAAAAAGGTCTTCGCCTGGCGCCAAAAAAACAAATAACGACGGTGCCAGGCGGACCTCTCTGGGGAGCGCATTCCATAACTTAGGTGCCACCGCAGAGAAAGCCCTCCTCCGAGTACCCACCCTCCTGATTTCTTTCATGGAGGGTTCCCGGAGGAGGGCCTCTCCTGCAGGTCTCAGGGGGCGGCCGGGCATATATGGATGTAAGCGCTCCTTCAGGTAACCAGGACCCAAGCCGTTATATCCTCCCTTTTTCCTACAAAGGGATCAAGGCAGCCCTTTTTTATTCTATATTAATGTTTCATTTTTCAAACATTGCCCGAGATAATGGCTGAGAGGCCTGCACATAGCAAGCGGTCCAAGGATGGGCATTTCTTGTCACCCTTCTGTCATTCCTGCAGCCGCAAAGAGGGTTCAGCAACTAAGGGGAACAGCTTGTGACTTGTGGCCCCTTTACTCAGTTATCAGTTATTGCTTTAAATGGCCTTATGACCAGCATTCCATGCTATCAAAAATCCATACTATTTAAGCTCGTTGTCACTGGGAGCAATTAATTACATTTATTCTCCAGAGGTGGTGCAGCTGAAGGGTTTACTTATTCCACAACAGCAAAGAAGAAAATTTAGCATGCAGAGATTGTGGCACTCTGCTTTGTGTCAGTGGATAAAGCTGCTTTGATTATCCTACTGGCCCTTGCGCGATTTTCTATCTAGCCAATGTCACAACTGCAGTGACCTACAGAACAAGCAGTGTGTGAAGAACTGGTCTGGGGATGGGAACTGGTTGGATTTCCTTAGCTCAGGCCCCCAGGCTCCAGCTCACTTTCTCTCTGCCCTAAGTCAGCCTCGCCCTGAGCAGTCAAATGAGCACATGGCAGGAAGAGAGGCCAAGGGGACCTGTGAGGCCGGCTGGCGCACATGCCTCCCATGTGCCCACTGTGCTAATGGGGTTCTGCTCCTACCCCGCAGCTGGGCCTCTCATTATAAGAGGGATATGGCAAGGCTGAAATCGATGCAGCGAAGGGCCACAAGGATGGTGGCTGGTTTGTAGGGAAAGCCGTATGAGGAGAGACTGATGGGACTGGTTCTTCTCAGCCTGGAGGAGACTCAGAGGAGACCTGTTAGCAACATACATGTATGTGAGGTGAGGGGGTGCTGCACAGAGGTGAGCCGTGACCTTTCTTCCCCTGCGGTGTAGGGCAGAACACGTTCCAATGAACAAAGCTCAGGGAACCAAGATTTAGTGGATGCCAGGAAGTACTTCCTGACAGTTAGGATATGGAATGGGCTTCCACGGGAGGTGGCAGAGGCCCCATCCGCAAGGGTGTTCAAGGATAGACTAGACATGCACATGGTGGGCATGTCATGAGTGGAGCTGGCTGGAGCCGGGGAGCAGACTAGATGGCCCAAGAGGCTTCTTCTGACTCACTTTGTTTCTATGTGACTTGCATACTCTGAGAAGAGAATGGTGTACTTTACACAAAGAATGATGCACTTTGTGTACTTCGGGTAAAGAAGCCACTAGTATTCCTACGTGTTCAGGTCCTGATCTTGGCTCAGCTTGATTCCTTGCCACAACCAAGTGTGGGAAAGCCCAGTGCGGACAAGAAACCCAGATTCCAGCCTGGTCTTTGCTTCCCTGTGTCTAAAACAAGGGTGGGCAACATGCAGGTGAAAACCTTTGCAGGGCCACAGCCTCCATCCACCCGCAGCAGCGGAGCTAATGGCGAGAGGTGCTGCTGACTAGGGATGATGGATGTTGCGGGCCAAAACCGGAAGAGGCCCACAGGCTGTCCCTCTGTGATCCAGTGGCTTCCTGCCTTGTTCCCATGGATGCCACAGATAAGGACAAGTTGGGGGAACACACGGGGGCCTGGCTTTCTTGTTTCAGAGTTCATGTCTCAAACTGAATGTGAAGCCAAGTTGGAAGAAGTGAGTTTGCTAATCCTGGTTCAGAGGAAACCTGGTTGCTGTTAATCATGGTGAATGTTGGTGTTGGATACTATGATCTGTCCTTCCTTTTTTAAAAAATGGCTAAATCAGATTTTTTTTGCTGATTTATATCCTGCCTTTTTCCTACAAAGGGCTCAAGGCAGCTTACATCATTCTCCTCCTCCATCTTATCCCCACAACAACCCTGTGAGGTAGGTTGGGCTGAAAGTCTGTGACTGGCCCAAAGTCACCCAGTTGGCTCCATGGCTGAGCGGGGACTAGAACCCAGATCCTCTGAGTCCCAGTCCCATGCTCTTAACCACTATGCCACACTGGCTCTATCAGTGGTTACCCCATAAATAAGGCAAACCCATGCTCACCCCTTTGGGTGCCTAACATTTTTGAAAGATGAAATATAAGTCTTGCAGTGATCAGCTGTACTTTCCACAGCTCCTCGCTTCACCCAGGCTAACAGGCAAAACAGGCTGTGCAAAATGCAAAGAGCAGCTTAATAAGCATCATTTAGACAAGCTGAGGAATTCGGGCACTGAATCCGAGTTACTTTTGTGTTGAGTTTTCACTTTGAACATTTTTAGTGTATTCCTTCATCCCCTATCCAGAATGTACACATCCCCAATCACAGATATGTAAACTGGTGCTCATTAGAGGCAAAACACAGGCAAGAAGCATCGGAAAGGAATTGGTTACCTGTTCTGCCAACAGTGAAGCAAGGCTGGAGTAAGCATCTGCGAACTCTGGTCCATACTGAATGGAATCTCTCAGCAAAAGAATAGCTTCTTCCGTCTTCCCCTGGGACCTGAAAGTCATATGATGGGTAGGGGGAGAGGAAAAGGCAGTTCTTTTAATAACTTTCTCCGCTTGCCTATTGATTAAAACACCGTTAACAGACTTGAAAGTGCCTGTCTTCTCCTTTTCAGAAAGGTCTAAATAATTAAATTTCTTCTATCACGCATCTCCTAGGGCAGTATTATATTCCATAGCCTGACAGCAGAAACAGGAGTGGGAGCCGTCACTGGATATGCACCGAGTTTTGTGACTTGGCACTTGCTGGTGAAACTTTCCACTGCCTGCTGAGGGGGGCATGTGATCCCCATAAGGCCCCCTTCTCGTGCTTTTCAGCAGAACTTTCCCCTGACTGTTACATCAAGCAACACAGCACTCCCTGAGAACCCTGATAAGGCAAACAAGACAGGCCTGCTGGAAAACTAGAGGGTGGAAAATGATGAGGATCCATCCGAGACACAGAAGAACCCCTGCCTCTCCCTTCCTTCACGCACCCAAGTTGCTTGTCCTCCAAAAAGGAGGAAAAGCACATTCACGGCACTTTCCAAACTCAACACAAATCAAAGATATACAACACTGACTTATTTTATGGTAACTTGCACTGGATTTCCCAGGTGCAATGTATGGCTGTGAGAGCTGGACCATAAGGAAGACTGAGCGCCGAAGAATTGATGCTTTTGAATTGTGGTACTGGCAGAGACTCCTGCGAGTCCCTTGGACTGCAAAGAGATCAAATCAGCTGATGTCCCTAATTCCAGCTTCAATTCCGTGCATCTCCAGGATCAAGCAGTAGTTGACAGAAAGAACTTTCCTCCGCCCATGAATCTGGAGGGCTGCTCCCAAGCAGAGTAAGCACTACAGTGTTCATGGACAAATATCTCTGCTGGCATACAGCAGCTTCCCATTTTCCCAAGTTATTTGTTTCATTTGTTTAACATACCTACCTATCACTTTGAGCAACATGGGAGGTACCAAACCCAGAATACTCATGAGTTCATGAACTTCCATGATCTCATCAGAATCACATCTACATTTTTTTCTTGAACTAAGACAAGTGAAGAAACACGCCGCCCCCACCCCATTCCTATTTATGCCCTGTTCCCTCAAGGAATGCTCTTTAGGGTGCTAGGGAAGGAGTCCTGGGATTTAAGGACCTTAAATGAATTGTGCTCTACTTGCCAGAGCACAATCATGAGGATTTCACTGCTGCTGCAGCTGAATCCCACCAGATTGAGCCGTTTATCCCTTATTCACAATGATATTTATCCCATATTCACAATGATATACTGTTCAGGCTGCAAAGCCAGGCATGCTAATGCAAACGCATGCCTGGCTGAGCTCAGTGGGGACTGTTACTCCTGTGTCAATGTATGCTGGATTAGGCTGCATGGCCCTTGCTTCTGCATCTGAACCAGTCTGGCCCTGGTCGATGCATGAGTGGAATGCGGCAGAGAGGCACTCTCCTGAGCTGGCAAGGGTGACAAATGCCCCCCTAAGGACACAAAAGACTTACTCTCCCTGGTCGCTAACACTCAGAAGCGGCTCTGGATGCACACACAGGGCAAGCCAGCATTTGGCAGCGCTTGCCCTTAGAAATCAGACCTGGAGTCTGCGTGGGCATCCCTTTCAGGAGCCGCTGAAGCCCTGGAGCCCCGGCGGGATGCACAGCTGTGTGAACACCTGCTCTGTTACTCTCCCCTCACCAGGCCATGTCTCAGCTGTCATTCTAATTTTCCTCAGTATCTCAGAACAACACTGAGGGGAACATTCAATTGGCAGATCAGTTGGCCACAGAGTTTTGATCACAGTGATGAAAGGGCCACCCACCAGTCCCACCAGGTAACTCATTGGCACAGGAACACTGCTAACCGCCCTCGGTCCCGGCCCTTTCTTTTTGCACCTTCTCCTTTCAAGCAGAGCAAGACAAGAAGTGTCTCACTGCAGCCTATCTGTTAAAGCTGGCCGACGGTGATAATTTCAGCATTTGGAAAGTCAGGACCAGGTGGGCATAATGCAGTAGATACCTGAATAGTCAGAGTTTGTCCAGATGGTACTGTCTGCATTTGGATGTTAAACTATAGCTTGTTGTTACGTGAATGAGCTTTGGGCTCCTCGGTTTTGTGCTGCCTGCCCTGCTACAGACAAGGCACACAGAAGTCTGCCACCAGCCCCTGGTTTTGTTTTGTTTTGTTTTTAAAGAAAAATATCAGTTACAACTTTTGACTCCAAAGTGGGTATCCCCAAGAAGAGCAAAGTACTAACTGCTTGGTGAGAACAAGGTCTCCAGTGATTCAGCTGGAAACCATTCTAGAAATGAAAAAGTTCTCCCCAGAACCACAGATTAAAGTGTGCATTTGCCCCTCTGGGAGCCACAGCCTGAGTGCCTTGGAATGCAGTGACTTAGTGGTAGCCCCTTTCTCGTGTTGATTCTTACGTCTACACAACTGTTGCAGAGGCGTGGTGAGCTAGAACCAACCTTTTCCTCTCCTCATGTTTGAAGTTACCATCACGAAAGGTTTGGATATGACTGTGAAGGCATTTCTGTACTGAAGTCCAACAATAAAAGGCTTAAGAAAATGGTGGAAGGGTGTGATCTCACTACTACTGTTATGTCCAGCATAAGCCACCTTCACTCAACAAGCAGTGGCTGAAGAATATAATGCAATATTATGTAAGAATATAATGCAATATTATGCCAGAGAGCTTTGGCCTATGGAGTGGTAGAGAAGTGAAATAAATATTGATCATTAGCAACAGCATGGGACTCAAGAAAAATGGGCTCATGCTCGGAACGGTGTTTTGTAAAGGGTAGATGACATGAAAATGCATGGAAACAAACCCCCAAGAGGTAAGTTTTGTAAGCAAAAAGATGCACAATAAAAAATAAAAAGAGGAGAACCATTCTGAGTGGTAAAACACGCCTCAGGTATTTTTTTGCACAGGTTCCCCCTCCCTAAAAAAAAAAAATAGTTGCCAGAGCTTTGCCATCAGTCTGCCGCAGAGGGAGAGATGGGAGGCGAGGCTATCACACGTCACCCCTGCAAACCAAGGAGCCCCACCAGGCTCCTCCTTCCAGCAACTTCTGCTTAGCAAGATGTTTTTCCTCATGGTGCTGCAGGGGAAACGGTGGAAAGCTGCACCACCAGAAGTGGTGTTAGGGGTGCACAGGGATGTGTGGGAATCTGTTTGGGAGTGGAAGCCCACTGGATTCCCTGGTCCACTTCGCAGAGGCCCAGAGTCCAAATTACGCCCCGCGTTTGCAGGGCACCTGCCAGGAACTGAGCCCCACGTGGCGCAAGCAGCGCCCTTTCCTTGCGTGCTGCTGCCACTGGCAGCAGCAGTGAACGAGGAAGACGCTTGGTAACTAGGAAGGGCTCCTGGTGTCCCACTCGCAGCGCCCCTTTTCCACTTCCTGCAGCTGCATTGCACAACAGGAGGTCCAACAGGAGGTCTGTGGCTTTGCAGGGCCAGGCCAAGCACGAGAGGAAGCGGGGCAGTGCTGGAGGGACGGATTCCGAACGGGCTCCTCCCAACCCCAGGGTGAAGCTGCTGGAATCTGAGCCTTGAGCACCTGCTGAAATGAAGGTATATGACGATCTCTTGCATCCGATACCCCCCTTTGCCCACACGTGCTTCTCCTCCTGCTGCCGCCACCTGGAATCTTTCTGCCTGAGCTCTTGCATGAAATCAAACATTCTCCTCCTTCCCTGCCCAGACACCCCTTGTTATAAATAGGGGTGTCCTGAGGAAACAGTCCTTTCAACACACACACAGACTTCGGAGCAAATGCAAATCAGTATACGTAAATTTGTACATATTTGTCCTGTGGGCCTCAGTCCTGGATCTTTTTAGTAGCTGGCACTGCCCTGAAGACCACTCCATCAGCTGAGCTGAGAACCAGCACCTTTGTCCCTCTCCCTCGAGCTGCTTCAATTCCAGCCAGTCATTATAAGAATGCTGTGATCAAGAAAGAACACTTGAGTTTGCTTTTTTCTCCTCCCTCCTAATTCCCTTTTCCTTTATATTGCATTTTTTTTCAGATTGTAAGCCTGAGGCCAGAGACAGTCCTATTATATATCTTTGAACTCCACTCTGGGAACCCTTTGTATGCTACTCCGGGAGTAGGGCTAAAGGGGCTTCAAAGAAAATAAATAAATATTGCACAGACTAATGTGTAGCTTGCCTCCAGGCGGTGAGGAGGCAGGCCGAAGCGAAAGAGGATTTTACTCTTTGAAGACTGATTCCCAGTTGTATTGTTAAAATACTGGAGTGTGCCCCAAGTAACTTAATGTTTAAAAATGTAGTAGGAAGATGGCTAATACATGTGACTGCTTCAAGAAAACCCTCTATATTAAAGAATTCCTGGAAAGTTCAATTGTATCCATGCCTTTTTGGGAGTGCTGTGATCCTTAGGGCCATAAAAGTTGTGCACGCCGGTATAGACCTTTCCCATTATCCTGCTCAGTCCTGGAACAAACCATGGGCCACATCCATTCAGCAAAGTCAGACAAAAATCAAGCACAGCATTTGCTTTGCTGGCCAAGGAAAAAGGCAGTCCAAAAGGAGGGTCTGAGGCAGAATCAAAGTCAAGTGCAGGAAAGCAGCCCGGATTAAGCACAGTCTAAGGAACAGGGCATTATCAGGAGCCCACGGGCCAACAGCACAAAAAAGCAGTCTAAAGAAGGAAAACTGGGCCGCAGGGTTCTGGGAACTAAAACAAAAGTGTTGTTCCAGCAGCTCTCCCTGCCTAAGATTGAGGCTGATACTCTGGAGCTTCCAGAACTCACCCAGGATCTAGCTGAAAAACTTCAAAGGGTTTTAGAAGATCTCCTCATGAAGAGGATGCTAGTCTTTAGGAGCCTTCCTTTGCAAATGGGCACACTTCTCACCACTATTGTTTGCCCTGCCTCTTGGGACACTGTCATGCCCAGGGGCAGAGTTCTCCTCCTCTTGTGGGACAGCCCCCTAGTCATCTTCTCCAGGCAACTCCTGCTCTTGCTCCTGGCAAAGGCT